TTAACATCACAATCAGTAAACTCTTTTAAAGAAAACGGAGGATAGTCGGCAGTTGGAAGCGTGGAAAGATAATTTAAGGTAGATGTTTTAGTCGACCCGTCGAAGGCAACGGAATTAGAGAAATGATGATTAAGAGCATCAAGGTTTAAATTTTTTGGGAAACTATCTTGACGTGACTTACCAACTCCCAGCGACCTAAGAAACTTCCAGACTTTAGCCGGATCATCAGTTTCTAAAGAACTATGAATATGTCGGCGTTGTCCATCCCTACACAACCTATTGCAGTGATTACGACGCTCATTATACTTGCGTTTATTCTCTACTACGTTACAACAACATGTTAAACAACGTTATGTTTTACGAATATTGTAGTTCACGAGTAATATCAAAAAAGTATATATTTTCTGAATCCCGTGGCCTTGGATTCAGTGGATTTTGTGCCACCGAATTCAGAAAAGCTTACACCGAAGTCGGAAAAACCTGCCATCCAAGCCATATTTTATTTGAAAAGTAAGTGTTTTGTACGTTTTTTCATATAAATGTTTAGTTAATATTATAAATTTTATATCCATCGTCCATCTTTCCTGAGGCAAGGCTTGCTGGCCCATACTGTGGAAGAGAATGCGAATCTTTTTGCCTCACTCTTTGCAGAGAATACGTATCTGCGTCATGCTAAAAAGAGATACTTAGAACTCCGTGGAGTTTAAACGTGAATAAATCTAGCGAGCCAAATGGAATACCAGCAATAGTCCTGCGTAACTGTGTGTTTGAACTTGAACTTGAACTTTAAACATTTCTAAAGCCTTTGACAAGATCTACCACGCAAATTTTAAGCAAGCTTCACTCTTACGGGCTTCCCAATGACCTTTGCCATTGGATCTCGGATTTTTTGGGTGAGCGTTCGATTCGATCTTACTACCTACATTACATAGGGCGATAGAGTTCCGGAGTGCGTCAGAGTTCCGTACAGTCCGCAACCCTTTCTGTCGCATATCAACGATATGTTAATTCCAGGTACCTTCAGGTATACCTACTGATGACAGCACAGTTGTAAATAGGGGCTTGATCAATGCCAGGATCAGTCCCATATCTTTTTACATAAGTTTTGTTTGTAGTGCCCCTTCGTATCAACCTCTTGGTTATGCGGGAAGGGCACTATGACCATCTAAGTCAGGTCCTAACCCCGGATCAACACGTTTGCACGCAATTCATGCAAGCATGCAAGAGTCCGTGAAAAAGAAATCCAGTCTGGTCGAGGGTCCATGATTAGTCCGGTTGTCCAGTCTGAACTTCGGCAGAAGCACAGAATCCATGGCCACAAATGCAGCCACGAAGCTTGACATCCTCTCCAAGGTGAGGTGTTACTACTTACCGGGACAGTTGCTTCAAAAAAGCTGTACCAAGCACAAATCCGGTCGTGTATAGAGTACTGCTGCCACTTATGGCATAGTTCTGCGTAATACCAACTAGCCGCCTTGGATTCAGTTGAAAAGTCTGCCAAGAACATAGGTGACTAAGGGTCGTATTCTAGAACTCTACTCAATGCTCAAGTCAGGATTTGAGTACGGTTTAAAGCACTCGAAATCATACTCAAGTCCCTGCCATTAGTGTCGTATTTCCAGTGCTTGTGTTTCCATTGCAATCCTGACTCGAGCATTGAGTAGAGTTAGAGAATACGACTCTAAGGGTCGTATTTCAGAACTCTACTCCATGCTCAAGTCAGGACTTGACTATAATTTAAAGCACTAGAAGTCATACTCAAGTCCTTGCCATTAGGGTCGTATTACCAGTGTTTGAAATCATACTCAAGTCCTGACTTGAGCATTGAGTAGAGTTCTGGAATACGACCCTTAGATTTGTTGCTATAGTTCACGCATCTTCCTTACTTCTCGCTACCCCAAAAATTACCCGTCTCCGTTTCGAAAACGCTGTCGCTGTCTTGTAGTTAGGTACCCGAGTTCCTAGCATTTAAGTAACGTTTACTTATTAACTAGGATACGATGATATTATGGGTTACGAATATACATTTTAATAGTTTAAAAACAAAATCGGAAATCTGAGTAGCACTGCAACTGTTATGGGTAGGCATGTCGCTTACCACTTACTTTGCAAGTCCCACGATCACGGCTGTCTGGCTGTGCAGTTTTATTTGTTTTAAAAAAGAAATATACACCACTTTAGATCCGGAAAAAAATAATTTCATTTCCAATATGTAGCAATCGCAAAAACCTAAGAACTCGATACGGCATATTTATGTTTATATTACAAAAGAAAAACAAACGAAGTAACTGGGGGATGGTTATTCGTATAAATGAATACGTACGGTTTGCCATATGAAAAAACAAAATTAAAAGGCAGAAACTCACATTAATCCTTAACAATACGTTCAGCCTTAACTTTTTTATAAATGAAACCTTAGAACACTTGAAACATTTCGTAAATTTCATAACTTCGGACTTTGGATTATAAGTTGAATTTAAATCTAAAGATTTTTTTATGTGATACCAAGTGACCGGACAAACAAGTCGTGCGCCTGATGATGGTAAGCGACACGCCTGACCACAACAGTTGCAGTGCCACTCAAAGCTTTAAAACGAAAAGATCTGATGGACACTGCCACTACGCCCGTCACCCTGAGACATAGGTTGTTATTGTTGTTGTGTGTCTCATGTGCCTGTAATTTTACTAGCACCTCTTATCCTTCAAAACTGGCCTAATGCTTACATTACTACTTGGCGGTAGAAATAGGTAAGGTGGCAGTACGTATCTGGACGAACTCTTTCACAAATTCGTTTACTGCTACTAAAAATTGTCAAGCTTGAAGTGCTCTTGATACGGGGTCATATTTAAAAAATATATAATTTATTTCAAACTTTGAAATACCCCTAATTTGCCCTAAGGCTCAGTAGGCCCGGGCCTAAGGCGGCCAAATTTTACGAGCGGCCAATCGTGACAAAAAATTCACTGATTATAACAAGAAATAACTCAAAGTATGTACACTCGCCAGCACCTCAAGCTACTCATTGACGTATGTTGTTCCGGTGCACGGAGGCGATTTTCGAACAAAAATGTGTAGTCTGATGTGCCGTTGTCCATACATACCTAAATATTCTAAAGGTTCACGCACACCATGGCGGGCCGCACTGCACCGCATCGTATAACAATAATCTTCCTAAATCACTTTCGTACTTATTGTGTGTAAAATATAGATATGTTACACATCTATAATGATTAAATGATTACATTAATCACTACATATTGTCACTACCGCGTCGCTCTGTCTGTCGGACCGCGATAAATTCAAAACTACTGAACGGATATTCATGCGTTTCCCAACAATATACAAGAGTGATTCATGAGGAAGGTTTAGGTGTATAATTTATTTAGGTTTTATGTAAGTTGGCTGAAACATGATGATAAATGTTAAAGATGTTGGAAAAAATCTTGCCGGCTGGGCGCTTTACTGGCGTGCGCCCCGTAAACTAACAAAGATATATTAAATCAATGTTGTAGAAAAATATTCAAGTTGCTAAAAATATTAAATAGTAAATTTCTGAATCGATTTCGATAAAAGCTGGCAATAAAGTAAATTAATTATATAGTCTACCAGTAGGTATATTTTATGATGAGTGCTGAGAAAGGGGCGGCTGGTACTAACTACATGGCCTAGGGCCTAGGGCGGCCAAGACAGCAAATCCGCCACTGGTTGTACCAAACGATGTCTATGTATACTTATAGCGTCAAGTGAAAAAAGTTACAGAGAAAAACAAATAACTACAATGAACGTTATGAAAGCTTAATGTGGAAAGCCGACGAAAATTCGCTGTTTTCTCACAAATGTATTTGAAAAACGAAGGGTGTTACTCGAACGCCCAAGATAGATTGCAAAATTTGCAAATTCGTCACGCTTCAATCCACGTCTGCGGTTTGGGCATAGGTATAGAGTCTACAAGGCTTACAATAAACTTACTTTCCGCCTTCGTAAACGACCAACTTACTTGTTTGTTATCAATATAAATATTTATAAATTAGTATGAAATATTTCTAAGTTTATACATAGCATGAATTAGAGATATTTGAAACCAACCTAAAAATAAAATTTCTCAAAAACTTTTCGAGAAATGCTGCCATCTATTGATTGACAATACAAGAAAGTTCATTGACGCTAAGAGTTTCGTTCTGAAATTAATTACCGCAAAATGTTGTTAGAAAGAGCAACGCTATACATTAGTATTGATTTCCTATTGCTAAACCCACGACGCTTAAAATATTTGCTGCAAATAAAACGCGATAACGTTTCCGAACTAAAACGTCACGATTGTCAATGTCATTAAAAATCACACTTCGTCAAAGTTTCGTGATTAGTGTACGATATTGTGCAATTTTATCACTATAATTCTCATTGTAATCCACGTTTATCAGCATTTTGAAATTGCTCATACTTTATTTTTGACCATACGTTAACTTTGTGGTGCAAGTGTGTGTTAAATTCTCAGCAATGCGGCTTGTAGACTCCTCAAAACTTTTGGAACTTCAAAACAAACCATCTAATATTCGAAATATTTGTATTGTGGCGCACGTGGACCATGGGAAAACCACGCTGGCGGACTCCTTGATATCCAGTAACGGTATTATATCCCAGAGGATGTCAGGAAAGCTGCGTTACATGGACAGTAGACCCGACGAACAGGAACGAGGTATTACTATGAAAAGCAGTAGTATTGCTTTGTATCATGCATTGGAGAACGAAGAATACCTTGTGAACCTCATAGATTCTCCAGGGCATATTGATTTCTCAAGCGAAGTATCCACTGCCGTCAGATTGTGCGATGGAGCTATTGTTGTTGTGAGTAAACAAATTTTCTTATAGCAAATATTGCATTTCCCAATATTTGTAAATTATTTTGTTTATTAAAATTATCTTTGTTGACAAGGATTTTAATATTAAATATTAATAATGTGCCATGTTGTAATTAATGATAAGGTTTTTCTGCATACCATCCCTTTATATACTTGATTCCATTACAAATTCGCTTTAGGAAACACAGTGTATTATATGTGACAACTTATTTCTATTTTACAATTAAAACATTCTCCACAGGTGGATGTTGTAGAAGGTGTATGCCCTCAAACCCGATTGGCTCTCAAACAAGCTTATTCTGAGAATATCCAAGCTGTTTTAGTATTGAACAAGATTGACCGCCTCATATTAGAAATGCAGCTTACTCCGCTTGATGCCTATGTACATTTAACACAAGTTATGGAACAAGTTAATGCTGTTATGGGAGAGCTGTTTGCTACAAAAGTTTTTGAGAATGAGACGAAGACTATTGAAAAACAGGTAGTTATAATTGTTAATAAATATATAATAACTACTTGACACATTTGGAAATAAACGAATGGAATAGCTGATCTATTTCCTCTGAAAAGTATAATTTAGTGCTACTCAAGGGTAGAGTAATTTATGGACAAGTGTGCACAATTGTTGGTCACTGGAGGTTCTGCCTCCTTACCTACTTCTTTCACCAAGGGGTAATGTAAACATTACTGTGTCTGATTTTGAAGGGTAAGGGTGCTGGTGAAATTACAAGTACATAGGACTTGTCAACTTATGTCTCAGAGTGCCAGGCGCAGTGGCAGTGCCCCTCAGATCTTTATGATTTAAAGCTCTTAGTTGCACTGCAACTGGTACTGACAGGAGTGGTGCTTACTACCTACTACCAGGCATGACGTGTTTGCCCAGTCACTTGGTATCATAAAAAAAACTTGCATTGTTCTTTTTTATTGAAAGTAATAACTCTAATATTTTGCAGCCATGTTGCAAAATATTAAAGGTATTACTTTCAAATTTACACTGGACAAAACTTTAAAATTGACATGCTTTTTGGGTTCAAATCTGTTAAAAAATGTTTAAGAATTGGTTTGATAAGATCATAATATTAATACTTTGATTTTTTTTTTTATTTCATTTTCAAATTATATAAATGTATCGAGGCATAACTAAATATAGCATTTTCATTTATTTATTTCATGTGTATGTAAATAAAAATAATTGACATTGGTTATCAACTACCAATATTTGTTCCTCATACTAGATGATATTTATTCCTACCTCATTAAATGGTATTTCTTGAAGTTATTAATGTATGGTATGGTGTAACAGGTTGGTTTCCACGAAACGGTTTAATGCTTAACTTAATTGCAATTTTTTTCCGTGTAGCAGCTAGCCCAAGACCCAAAAGAAGACAACAATTTTTATGATTGGACATCAGCTTTGGAGGATGCTGATGATTCCAATTTATATTTTTCACCTGAGCACGGGAATGTTGTATTTGCTAGCGCTATAGATGGTTGGGGTCTCACTGTACACACTTTTGCAAAACTGTTCTCTGATAAACTTGGTAAGTTGGTAATTAAAGCATAGAGCAATCAAGAACGTTGGATATATTTGACTACCTTAGTGGCCCAATAGTTTGTAATGGAGGTGTTAGACATGGAGTTCCCGGGCTTGATTCTGGGAAGAATCAATTTGGGAAATTAACTTTTATTAACTTTTCAAATTTGTTCTGGTCTGAGTGTTTCGGGTCATGCCCCAGAGTAAATTCTGTTGCTCTGATACTCATAGTACAGGTAATCCCCTAGTTAGAGACCACATAATTGGTATTATTGTTTGGCACGTTATTATTTTTGCAATAATCATAATATAATTATGTATTTCTTTCATAGACAATTTATGCTTCACTGGAAATAATTAACATTTCAATTAAGAGCTGCTGATGGTGGTTTAATTATTTCAAAAAATTATTAAATAAAATCCTTTTTCCTTACAATTTTATTTATAATTTAAAGAAAAAAAAACATATGTTGGCACTTTTCAATCCACTTCAGTATAATTAAGTTCTTTCTGGGGTTAATGAGCTGTAAACTATGCTCCTTATATTTTTCTTGCAGGAGTGAAAGAAGAAATACTTAACAGAGTTTTATGGGGCGACTTCTACCTAAATTCAAAAACAAAACGTTTTATGAGAGGTGCACAAGAAAAAGCCAAAAAACCACTTTTTGTGCAAGTCATTCTTGACAACTTATGGAATGTATATGAAACAATTGTATTGAGAAATGAAAAGGAAAAAGTTCCTGTTATCTGTGAAAAGCTTGGAATCAAGCTTACTACTAGAGATCTTCGACACACAGATAGCAGAATTCAACTACAATCTATGATGATGCAATGGCTACCTCTATCCCAAACAGTATTGAACATGGTTTGCAAAAAGCTGCCTTCACCAAAAGAAATTCAACCTGAAAAAGTTGAAAAACTAATGTGTTCCAAAATAAAAGATTTTGAATCTTTACATCCTGAAACATTAAAACTTAAAGAAGACTTCCTTGCCTGTGATAGTAGCAATGATAGACCTTTGATTATTTTTATATCCAAGATGTTTAGTGTTGATAAAAGTGCGTTACCTGAGAACAAACCGAAAGCGTTGACCACTGAGGAAATGGCTCGTCGAAGACAACGAGCTCGGCAACTGCGAGAAGTACAAAAGCAAACTAATGATAATTCTGAACCTACATCTGTACATAAAGAAACACAAGAAAATGTTAATAATGGTACAGAGAAAAATGCTGAGGATGAACAAGAAAAACAAGATAAAGAACAACTAGCCTTTATTGCTTTTGCAAGAGTGTTTAGTGGCAAAGTGAGGAAAGGTGACAAAGTTTATGTGTTGGGTCCAAAACATGATCCGTCCAAAATACTTAATATTAAAGACTTTGTAGTTAATCCTGATAAGAAACTGAAGGATTTGCAAAGTGATGAGCATATCACATGTACAGAGTAAGTTTCACTTATTTTTAAAAAAATTGGTATCAAACTTTACTTATTTATGTATTGGTCATGTCAATCTAAAATGTCTTTGCTATTTTTTGTAAGTGTTTTTCATGCATTACAAACATACGACTTTCCCGTCTATACTTAAAATGCGCCCAATAATTTTATTTTTGAATATACCATAGACAATATAACACTTTCAAGGTAGAAAGTATAATATTTTTGTTAGAATTTAGTGTCAAAAACCACACGAACTTTTTGACCAACCCGTTATATTTTAATATCTTTGTGTAAAATCTGATAGTCATTTTGGTTTTTGTCACAGGATCAAGTCACTTTACATTTTAATGGGCAGAGAATTAGAAGACATCGATGAAGCAGTTGCTGGTAGTATAATTGGTAGGTCTTATTTTTATATCTGATTGAGAAATGTCTTTAGCACGTTAATTATGTACAAGGTGATTTTTAAAATACTTGCATCCTCGCCGGACTTTATTCCTAACATCATAAACAATTTTTGTTCCACGACATTTTAAAAAATATAATAAATTTACCAAAAATAAATTTTTAAGTTTTTGTCGTACAGGGTCAAGAGCACGTCAAGCTTGACACGTAAGACTTAAATCTAACTCTATGCCGCTTACGATAAGAACCGTAGAGGAAGAATAAAAAAAAAGAATAGAGAAGCTTCTCGCGCATACTGAAAAGGGATACCAACAAGAGAGTACCTATAAATTCTGGGTTTAAAATTTTAACATTAACTTTTAAAATTTTACCCTGTTGCAGAAATTGAAATGAAAATGAAGCCGTGGTAGCCTAATGGTCTGACCTACTGCCTCTCAAGCAGAGGGTCGTGGGTTCGAATCCAGACCTCTGAGTTTCTCGGAATTTGTGCGAAATTTAATTTGAAATTTATCATAAACTTTTCGGTGAAGGAAAACATCATGATGAAATGTTGAAGAAGGTTCAAAGTCCTCGGAAAACGTGTGCAGTCCCCAACCTTCATTGGGTCAGTGTGGTGGACTGTCGCCTAAGCACTCGCCTGAGAGAAGACCCGTGCCCAGCAGTGGGACGCATAAATGGGTTCATGATAATGATGAAATCTGCCGAGTCTAAGGAGGGAGAATCCGCCAGACCACATTTATCTTGATTGAGTTTTAGTAACCAAATAAAACAATTATGACAAATCATTACTTTTTTATTGGCCCTTGAACAGTATTAACTTAGTATACATATTTCGAACTAAAAAGTATTGAAAAGTAAAAAAATACAATATTTAAAATGGCCCATAAATTGGGGAAAAGATAGTGGGCAAAAGCACGGTATCCCTAAAATCAGCTTAAGCCTGTCTAATTTAATTTATACGTTATTTATTTGATCTCTCTTTCTCGCGTATCATAACCACTGCTGGTAGAAGCGAGATGGACATATTTGACAAAAGTATGTTATTTTTTTAGGAGATTTCTACGATGCAAACAAAAATCTTTCAATCAAGATAAATACTTCAAATATCATCTAAAATACATGAAATCGTAATATTCCAGGCTTGTAAGAGTATTTCACTAGTAATTCATACAAGAAAATTCATTGATTGTAATGAAAAATTAAAACTTATGTGTGAAAGGTTATGTTGGGAATTTTTCGTTCCGTACGGCTTTTAGAACCTAAATATAACAATGCACCATTATTGTGAGCTGCAATAATTGTCAATTACTACAAAGGAACGGTTACTAACTTTGTAAAACACTTCTTAAAAGCACAAACACATAAAATCGATGTACATCAAACACTCGAAGGATTTACTGGACTCAACGAGCGTTGAGTCATACAACCAAAACCGCATACGTAGAAAGGGACAAAAAATAACATTGTTTTCTCGTTTACTCTGATATGTCTGTGCATAAATATATCTCGCTTATACAGTTTTCATTATTTACAGAGCCCCTCTACGATAAGAACAGTCCAAAGTACAAGTGTCAAGCTTGACGTGCTCTTCACTGTACTATCTGACATTTATAAATCTGTATTTGGTAGTAAGTCTATAGTAAGTTCAATATGCAAGTGCCCTTCCCGAAAACCCTCACCCTCATTCATGCGTTGTGCATCGGAGTTGGTATTTACGCTAGCGTTATCTTTTGTTACCGCGTAGAATTATCACCGTTTAGAGAGATATATTTAAATATTTAAATTTTTGTATAAAATTAAATTTCTGATGAATTATTAAATGTCATGGTACAAAACTTGTTGTATATGATGTTAGTAATATAGTCCTACAAGGTTAGTAGTATTTTATAAATTACCCTGTGTATCTTTAATAATAAAAAGTTCTCTTCAAACACTCACTCTCACTCAAAAAACACTCTTGAATGTATTTCTTCTGATATTAACAAGTGAGTAATTCATTAAAAAATTGCTTATCTTATTGACCCTGTCAACTTGAAAAATACAATTAATCTTATTGAGATCTATGGTCATTTGAAAGAAAAACGAAAGTGTTATATGTAGGTATCCTATGTTTTTGTGAGTATTCAATGGAAAATAGCCAAACTTCTTTAACAGTGTAATAATGACATTATACCCATTATTTGCAGGCATCGGTGGTCTCGAGGACCACGTACTTAAAACGGCAACTCTAAGCAGTACAATAGCCTGTCCTGCCTTCAGCGAGATACAGCACACTGCTGTGCCTATATTAAGAGTAGCTATTGAACCTACTTATCCATCGCAGATGTCACAGCTGGTGAAAGGTAATTGACATTTAGACAAAGTTTAAAGAACTAATTGCTACTTCTTCATAGATAGTTACATTATAATACTTAACGCAATTATAATATCATAGGGTACCTTGTGAAAGAGTTCCTCCAGAGAAATGCTGCCAGCGTACCTATTTCTGCCGCCAAGTAATATTGTGTACTTTTTTGCGTTTCGGTTTTGAAGGGTGCTAATGAAAGTATAGGCATGTAGGATTTTTCAACTTTATGTCTTTTTCTTTTAATATCAAATGACGGGACGAACAAGTCGTACGTATGTCTGATGGTAAGTGACACGTCTGTCCATTACAGTTGCAGTGCTACTCAGCGCTTTAAATCGCAAATATCTCAGGGGCATTGACACTGCGGCTGTCACCCTGAGACATAAGTTGATAAGTCCCATGTGCCTGTAATTTCACCAGCACCCTTACCTTTCAAAACCGAAACTCAGTAATGCTCACATTACTGCTTGGTGGCAGAAATAGGTAAGGTGGCAGTACTTCCTTGGACGAACTCTTTCACGAGGAGCTCTACTGCTATTAAGTCTTAGAGTGACAGGGGCAGTAGCAATGCCCTCATCTTTGCAATGTAAAACTTTGAATGGCAGTGTGACTATTGTAGATAGACGTGTTGCTGAACATTAGGCGCATGAGGTGTTCGTCCCTTTATTTAATTACTTAAAAAAAATCATAAGCAAACATATTATCATAAGACACGTAACACAAAATAAACACAATTTTCTAAGAGCAATGGTGGTTTCACATTCACAATTGTTTTTTCTAAAATATTACTTAAATGATACTAAAGTACGTAGTCATACGGATTAGCATCCAAATAATATTATAAATGTAAATAGCTTTACATGTATAAAAAATTTCATAATTAAATGTAATTAATATCATTATTATTTCATGCACTCATTTGTAAATTGACTACGAACATTTATCCATATTATGTGAAGACAAACACCATGTACATTATTGGATTTTCATGAGTTATATGTTTTAAAACTTAAATTATGTTTTATTATAGGTTTAAAACTTCTGAATCAATCAGATTCGTGTGTCCAAGTGTTGTTACAAGAAACTGGAGAGCATGTGCTCGTCACTGCTGGTGAAGTCCATCTGGAAAGATGCCTTGAAGACTTGAAGTAAGTACAACACCACCATTGTCAGAGCCATTATACGTAATAAATCAGTTTTTTGATCATCGCTATACGCTATCGTTTGTTTTTAGACATTTTCGTGTTACAATCTCGATAATTTGTCAACGTCAACGTTTAGTAGAAACTTCATAAGTCACTTGTCTTGTACGGCGGCTATGGAAAATATGTGTGCGCATGTACATATTTTCTTAAAATTCATTTATTATAAGAAGAATGTACATTTTTGTTGTTTCAGAAACCGTTACGCAAAAATTCCATTAACAGTATCAGAACCCATTGTACCATTCCGTGAAACAATAGTCGAACCACCCAAACTCGACATGACGAATGAAGAAATAGCCTCGCAGAACATCGATGTTATATCAAATAAGGAGGAAGATCCTGTTATAACAATATATACTAACAATAAACAAAGTAGAATAAAAATTAGAGCTAAACCTTTACCTAGTGAAATCACAGCTCTATTAGACGAATCTACAGATTTACTCAAAGCCATATCGCAATATATAAAAACACTGCACGGTTTAACAAAGAATGATAAATTAGAAAATAAACTCGAAAAGCTGACTATAAATGGAAGGTTTCAGTTATCGGATCGTATGTTGAAATTAATACAAACATTTAAAGATGAATTGCAGAGCGTGTGTGAAAAATTAAGCCCCGAATGGAAGGATATTGTCAATCAAATATGGTCTGTAGGACCTAGGAATTGTGGTCCTAATTTATTGTTAAATCAAACTACGGATTATTATACTAAATATTTGCACCATGAGAAAGAGATAATGGAAGATCCAAGGTTTGAATACGAAGGAAGTTTTGTAAATGGTTTTCAATTGGCTACCTTGGCTGGACCACTTTGCGAGGAGCCTATGATGGGTGTGGCATTCTGTGTTGAGGAATGGACACTGGATAAGTGCGAGGGAGACGAGGTGGGCCATACTTTTGGACCGTTGTCAGGTATGTTTAAACATTTAATACGTTTGACTTTACGTAAATTTTTGCGTTGTACGCAGACCAGCGTGGCAACTGTTCAGCCACGGAAGCAGTTATAAATGCTACTTGATAAAGTTGTAGAATATCCATTGATTGTACCCATTATCAATGTACATCGTTACCTCATGTCTTAGGTCAAATAATGTCAGCAGTCAAGGAAGGATGCAGGAAAGCGTTCCAGGTTCAGCCTCAGCGGTTGATGGCCGCCATGTACTCCTGCGACATTGTCGTCGACCAAAAAGTATTAGGTAAGCGCTTATCCTTTATTTTTTCTATGCCGTTATACATACCTATTTGCCACAGCCTGTACCAATAGAATGCCTCAAAGTGCTATCACTGGCCGCTTTCATTCAACAGCTGCTTGCGACTCTCCTAGTCATCAATTACATAGTTGTTGACATTTTGTTTATGGTTAAAATCACAGAACAATAAATACTGTAGAAGTGGTTAGTTAGCATCCGACGCATGCCAATATTAGGTCTCCTTAGACCTACTGGAGTTCAGTCCGCCATTTTCGCGTTGTATCATCTTTCGCACAAATTCTTTAAAATCATAGATAAAATCTTTATTGTGCTGTTTTGGAGTGCAAAAATGATAGCCACACCGAACATATTACCCGTAGTAATATTTCATATTATCGGTAAGTCTTATTTTAATAAATTTTCAATTTTCTGTTTATCTAAATAAATTTTTGTTACAAGAAACGAAAGTAAAGCTTATGTCCTTGCAATATGGTCGCTTCTTTTTTGGAGAATTAAATAAATAACTCCAATTCATCGTCGTTCAGCAATTAACCGCTAGATGACAGCACATTGATTGATTTTTCTTCCGTGGTTATAATAATAATTATAATATTAGACAACTAGTGTGGCAGGTAACCATACCAATTGCCTGGTCTCAAAATAACGAATTTTTGTACTATGACTTAATAAATGGAATTTACTATGAGGCACTTCCCAAAACACACAGACCAGAACTAATTTAGAAAAGTTCATTTCCCAAATTGGTCCTACCGGGACTCGAACCCGGGGCCTTCGCCTCCAGCGCTCATAATGTGAACCGTTAGGCCACCGAGATCGTCAAACAAGTTCGCATTTGACCTCCATCTCACCTGATGGAAAGCGAGGATGAGGTCGACGATGGCGCATGTGGAGCATCTAATGACTATTCACTTTCACCTTGAAAAGACCCAAGTTACTTCGTTCAGTAGATCTAGCACGACGAAGTGCGACTTGCGCGAGAGCGACATAAAACGCGATATTTATATGCGAGAATAGCATTATCTCGCTCTCGCGCCAGTCGCACTCATGTCGTGCTAGCCCTACTGGCTACAAACAAATCTGTAAATACGGAGGCCTTTATAACATTTTTATCTAGCAAATGTTCAATTATATAATACTAAAATACATTATCTACCATTTTGAAGCAGAGTAGAGCTGTATTTAAGCAACCAATTAAGTACTTCGCTATATCCATGCGGCGCGCGGTATGTATATGTCGAATTACTTTTATGTCTGTAGGCGCTAGATAAGGAGATTCTGGAATCGGTTATTGGTAGGGCCAGTCAAGAAACGATCTTTTCTAACTTGGTTCTGGCCTAGGTGCTCTGAGCAGTACCCGTTGTTGATGTCATCGCTTTGGTACCTACTCATGTAGGTAATTCCATAAATTGAGGCCAGATAATTGGTGTGATTGTCTTGCACATTATAAAAAAATCTTTCAATACTTAAAGCGGACTGTACCTATGTAAGAAACGGAAACATCTGTACTTTATTTTCCACTTTAAGACAAGTAACCTGTGGTGTTTTACGTATTTCTACTTTGTAAAGTTGAGTTTACATGACGACATATTATGTAAATCTGATTAACCAGAAGCACTCTACTACACACAGACGTATATCAGACGCCGCAAGTGTACGTACCGAAGTACGTACCTCAATTGCCTCAAGTAAAATTCACTTAGTTGCCGCTGCTACACTCAGAACGCGCTCGACCGTTATCATAGATAAACCAATCGAAAACGCGAAAAATGCATAATTGTGCCATTATAATAATAATAATAATAATAAACATTTATTTCAGATAATTGCATCCATATTATTGTTAGTAACATTGGGTACTTACAACTATGTTAATTAATAATAAAAATGATAATAATAATAATAATAACAAAATTTAACTATAATAAAATTAAAATGATACTAAGACTACTACTTACATACAATTAAGTCCACCCAGAACTTCAGGATGGGACAATCAAACCTATTAGCGATTACGTTCAGAATCCTGTTGTGACTACCTCGCACCCGGCTCAACAGAGACGCAACCCGCTTCCGTCGGATGGCATAAAAGTCATCAGTGCGTTCCTCGGCGAACATCCCTGAAGCACTGCAATAACGAGGCAGTCCCAACAGCATCCTAAATGCGTTATTATATTGGACGCGGAGGGCATTGTATACTTTTTGAGTGTAATTGACCCATAGACTGCTCGTGTAAAATACTTGACAGAACGCCTTAAAAAGGGTAATTTTGACTTGTTTGGAACAACGAGCAAACCTACGGGCCAACATATTAGTCCGTACTGCCAATGCCCTCCGTTCCCGTTCAATATCACGATCGTCTTTCAAGTCATCACATATAATGTGGCCCAGGTATTTAAATTGTGTAACTCTATTGAGTATTTTACCATTTAGCATGATGTTATGAAAAACACTGGGATTCATCCTATGAGACTTGAAGATCATGTACTCATTTTTGCCTGCATTGTATAAAAGTCCATGTTTTTCCGCATATGACTCACACACTCTCAACATTTGTCTGAGAGCGCCGACAGAGGGGCACAGCAGCGCCATGTCGTCCGCATAACTAATGTTGTTCACGCTTACGCCTTCCACATAGCATCCCACATGCATTCTGCTGAGCTCCTCGATCAGACCGTTGACATACAAGTTGAACAGTTTCGGTGAAGTTAAACCTCCCTGCCTCACCCCACACTCCATCCTGTATGCCTCCGACAGTGAGTCATTCCATTTTACATAATTAGACTGATTGCTATACCAATATTTAAAAACATTAATGAGCTCACGTGGAATATTTGTGCTTGCTAGCTTATCCCACAGGATACCATATGACACCAGATCAAAGGCCCTAGAGAGGTCCAGGAAGCACGCGTAGACTGGCGTACTCCGATCTGTATAGTACTTGACGGTATGCTTCAGGCTCAGTATGGCCGTCTCGGTTGACACCCCCTGCCTGAACCCAAATTGAGCATCGTGCAAGTCTAGATATTCACCGAGACGGCAGTCAAGCAACCCGTCAAGAACCTTAGCTATAATTGTGGCCAGTGATATGGGCCTATAGTTTCCCTTCTCTGACAAGTCCCCTGTTTTGTTCTTAACTATTGGTACGACAATCGTTTTTAACATTTCATGCGGCAAATAGGAGTGACTGACACACAGTGAGTAAAACATAGATAGAACCCTCGGTAGGTGAACACCGGCCATCTGCAGATGCTCGATACTGAGGCCGTCATGCCCAGGTGACTTACCCCTAGTCATATGACGGATTACGTTTGACACTTCTTTAGCACTAAAGCGTATTAGTTTCACCTCTGGGTCAACCTCAGTATCGTGCACCAACTGTGTATGGCCGAGCGGCGACTGCACCTTGAAGTGGTCCCTAAATAAGTTCGCAATCGATTTCGAATCACTAGATCCACTAACAACCGCAGGTAGGCCAGGCCGACCATTCAAGTCGTTTGTACATTTCCAAAATGTTTTAAAGTCGTTTTGTGATCGATGTAGTGCTATTGTATCCAATATCCAATATATTGTATCCAATATTGTTATAAACTGCAAAAGCACCATAACTATGGGTAAACGGATAAACAGGGACGTTTCCTTCAACGGGCAAGTGATTTTGTAATCAGAAGATGCATAAATTATTTTATAAACAATTATTTTGGTTTGTATGAATTTCGAGTAAACAAATATGCAACCGAGTGTATGCCTCATGATTTGTGATACGTTGCGTTTACTTGGTGCGATATATTTGTGATCCTTTGTTAATACGCTATGAATATCGAACGAACGCACTTTTGTATAATGCATGCAATGCAACTTTGTCAAAACTTAACATTTAGTGATGGCAACACGTTAGGCAACACTTCTCGATTCTGATCGGTTTTAAAAGCAAAGGGATGAAAATTATTATGACCTTACCAATATTATGAAAATATTTTATAACTCTTTTGTCATAACGTTTAGTAACGTTTTTTTTTTTCAAAACTGAAAAAAAAAAGAAGTAAGTATATCTAGTAATAAGTAGTATCTATTATCAGTAGTGTCTGTAATTTCGATAATTTTTGCAGCGCGTCGCCTCGAATGTCCGAATATAGTGAGCAAATAATTACGTACATCGACGGATATGTAGTACGAGTAATACAAAAAAAAATTTATAATGCAAAGAATTAAAAGTGCGCTGTCTTTACAAAAACTTAGAGTTGGTCATACGTATGAGTTCGTTTCTTTCGAGGAGTTTATCCCACCTAAGATGCTATCCAAATATGCAGAGCAGCAGAGTTAGAAATACGAGACATAATAAACAAATCACAAAAATTTCACACGAGCCCGTCATTAAGTAAACCTCTTCTGATTGATAAGATTTTACCATATTTTGTCAGTAGTAACATTTTCGTTTGTCTTGGCATTCATCAATTTGATCAAATACCGACAGAAAACCGTCTAGTAAAATTAATTGAGGCAGTCGCAAGTTCATATATTGACGTGCCTTTTCATTATTGAAGTTAATCGGTAAGATCTTCTATTATAACTATCTTATTGTAGTGTTTTTCTACTATATCAAAATTATGACTAAATGTAATCAACAAATACTTGAACAAAAAATGTTCTATTTAGTATCGTATAATTTAATGGAATACGTGTGTTTACGCGTATTCCGTTCAATCAATCGATTTAGAGCGAGCGAAGGAAGTTTTCATCACTAAATAGTGCTTGTGACGTCGTAGTGAGTACGAAAAATGCGGCACGCTTGGTTTTCATACCAATTGCTGTACTTGTGGCGTCTATCTAGATATATGTCTGTGCTACTACACATATTTAGCTAGGCACTTGATTTTTATTATATAAAATTATAAAAATAAAGTGTTATACATTAAAAGAAAGATTCACACCGTTTGAACTTTTTGTATTATAATATTTCCTTTCAAAAAGTGGCAGAGTTCACAAGG